TGTTTATATGTATTTCACCTAAACGATGCTGTTATGTGTCGTAAGAGCTGATCGGGATCGGGTCCGAGTGGAGGTCGTCCTCCCGGGCCTTCTCCGCCGCCTCCTTCCGCGAGATTACTTCCTCGCAGAAGGTTGCGACCGCGGTAAAACAACTGTCGCTACCGGCCATGGAGCGTACTACGGCCGGTAGCGAGAGATCCACTCCGATGACTGCAGTGAGGGCCCGGCGCTGCGTCGCCCATGCGGGGCAGACCGCCAGCGTGTGCTGGGCCGAGTCCTCACTGCAGTCGCAGTGGTGGCAGGCGGGACTCAGTTCCCTCCTAGCGACCGAGTGCAGGTACTTTCCGAAGCAACCGTGCCCGGAAAGCACCTGCGTCAGCCGGAAGGTAAGGGTCCCGTGCTGCCGCCCTGCCCACTTGGCGATGACCGGCTGGAGAGCCTCCACGGCGGCGCAGCCAGCGCGTGGAGTCTCCAGCCGGAACGACCAACGAGCCATCGTGGCTCGGCGAGCGGCTTCGCGCCACTCGCGCACGTCTTCGGGCGGAGGGCGAAATCCGCTCTCCGCCCGGGAGTCAGCCACTCGCCGATAAACTTCGGCGAGCACTTCCGCCTCCAAATCCCACGGGGGAGTTCCGGCCAACGCGCACGCCACCTCCGTCGACACGGTGCGGTAACCGCGTATGGCTCTGACCGCCATTACCCTCTGAGGGCGCCAGAGGCGTACCCTATTCTGGGCGGTCAGAGCCGCCGCCCACACCGGTGCACCGTACAGTGCCATTGACCGGACAACCCCCGTGTACAGCCGTCTTGTCGCGACGCTGGGTCCACCCATATTGGGCAAAAGTCGCCCTAGGGCAGACGCAGCGCCGACCAGCTTTGGAGCAAGCTGTCGGAAGTGCTCGTCGAAGAGCCACCTCCCGTCGAGGATCAGGCCCAGATATTTCATCTGGGCCCGAACCGGTACGAGGACCGAGTTGACCACGATTGAGGCGCCAGGGGGTGGACCACGACGGGGCCCATGAAATAACAGGGCCTCCGTCTTATCTAGGGCCACCCGTAAGCCCAGCGCCTCAATGCGCCCGACCACCAGGGAGACTCCCCTTGTGGCCAGGCGCGCCGCCTCTTGGAAGTTCGCCCCCTGGGCTGTCACCAGAGTGTCATCTGCGTAACAAATTCTGTTTGTGTTGTTTCACAATAACAACAAACAGTTTCATTGTCAATTATATTCATTATACATTGCATATTATAATTATTACGGAGTATGTGAAACAATTTCACATACTCCGTAACAGCATCATCATCAACAGCCTTTACTAGTCCACTGCTGGACATAAGCCTCTCCTTAGAAAGGAGGTTTTGGCCTACTATACCACGCTGGCCAGACGGGTTGGTACAGGGTTTGTGTCAAGTTTTCCTTCTCTCTGCAGTGCTGTTGTTCTGCGTAGTTTTTTCCCTTAGTCGTCTCTTACGACACCCACGGGATGAATAGGGGTAGTGACACTGTATTTTTAATCGGTCACCACACGGATAAGTTAAAATCAATCACAATTTTATCTTTTTTTTTAGCTTTGAACCTTTCGCGAGTCTTGCGCTACCGTAATAATAATAATTAAGTAACAATGGTTTTGTAAATCAGTCACAGGTGTATTGATATGATTTATCACATGTGATTGGGATTTCATTCCATCCCTAATATCACTGATTACAAACATACTTACTTTACATAGTTAATGAATACTTTTCTTTTCTGAAACTGCTGATTTTTGCTGGGCAAATGAGCAGACGGGTCACCTGATGGTAAGCGGCTAGCGCCACTAACGGACACCTGCAATTCAAGAGTCACAAGTGCGTTGCCACCTAGAGTCCCCCCCCCCCCACACCCCACCCCTTAGGTTAATTTCACTCACTCAGTAAAAAGCAGTGAAAGAATTGCTTAACACCGATTTTCTATAAGGGTGTGGTAGCATATCGGTCTAGCCATCCCATTTATGCCTGGTCTGAATCTCCCACGCTGATTATGAAACTAAATAATTTTGTATTACGATTGGGTCATTGAACGCATTCATTTCATTCACATCATGCTTGCGATTCTCCATTCAACTTGAAAGTTTAGTGGTCTGTGGTTTAGTAAACTTTCACCCAAATATGTGTGATGTTCAAGTGACTTTGTATTCTTGACTTCCGATCTTGAACTCTCTGAGTAATTGTTACAATGAGGTAGTTACAACACCTATAACAAAACACTTTGAATAGAAATTAAATTAGTTAGAATTATTTTATTGTCCGAGGGTTGTTCTGACCAATACCGGCCACATCTTGCCACTATCGTTGAACGTTCCAAAACATCAAACCCTATCGTTTCAGTAACTGACACTCAACTACCGTGCGGTTTTCAGGAAACTTTTTGCCTCGTATCTGTGGAACAGATTTCTGATTTTCAACCTTTTGTCTTTTAGGTTGTGACAAAGGGCGGCGCTAGTCGCTTACCTGACTTGACTTCAGTTGACCTATCTGTTCCCACTATATCTTAAAAGAAAAGAAAAAAATCCCTAGCTTTATTAGCACAGATTACCATATTTTAGAACATCAGGATTCAAAAACACTATCAAAACGATTTAACTAACTCGTAAAAGTTAAACTTTGGTCAGAGATAAAAAGTGTAATTAAAAAAAAAACTATTATTATCTATTAATTAGGAATTAGACAGCATAACTAAACTTAAATGAACAATAACATAACTAAACTTACCGAAAGAATTTCTCTATGCCTTACAAAAATACAAACATATCGGTACATACTGTTTTAACCGATAGCATTCTTACCGACGATGTAACTGTTTTTTTTTTGTTGACGGGCTGAAAAATCCCTTCAATCACCACAATCTCCATCTCCTCGGGGACTCAGGAGCCAGGAGTGTGTGGTGATTCCACTAAAAACCACCCTGACGGCCAGCCTCAGGTGTCCTACTCTAGGAGTACTCGGACCATGTTATTTCAGGTCAACTTAGTTTTTGTCTCAGCATAATATTTATGATATAACACACGTTCTTCTAACATTTGCAGATAATATGCAATAAACTATTCTACCTATCTCTAGATCGGATTACAAAACTGTGTTGGACTACTTAAAATACGAGTATTTACTCACAGTCGACATTCCGTTGAACCGCATCAGGCGCATCTAAAGCCTCGTACAGAAGAGGCGAATTTATTCTGAATCGTTTCGACTGTAGCATACTTCGGATTCGCCGCGATACATTTGCAGCGAACTCGCAGAAGTTTTGCCGCTTACGTTGTTGGCCAAGAAGAAGAAGAAGCGGAAGCGACACTGCCTACAAAACGGATAGATTTAATTAAGAATCTTTCTCGAGAAATTTCGTGCATTATCCTCAGACACTTTTTACGGGTTTGTTGCGGCTGATTTTACAGCACAGCGGACTACAGTTGTTAGTGTCACTGCTATTTTTTTATCGGCAAGGTGCTGTGTTCTCATACAAACCAACCAAAATCATGTGCAGTAAACCAAACAGATACTACGAATGCCATTACAATGTTTTATACTGACTGAATTTGTCCTCAACTCAAACTCAAATTCAAACTATCTTTATTTCATAAAATTTCCAAAATTGATTGAAATCGTCTTCCATGTAGACTCTAAAATCATAGATCAACACACACAAAAGCAACAATTTCTGTTTTGTCAAATAGTAAGCAAATAAATTTAACAAAAATCAAACCAAAAAATTAAAAAAAAAGGCAATGAAGAGAAAACAAGATTAAGAAAAAAAAACGAATACAAGAGAAAATGAAGTGAAACATAAAAAATAGAAATAATAATAAAAATAAAAAACACACTAGCCACAACTCGCGTTGATATATAAGAAACAATTCACTCCGAATTTGTCTCTTCTAGACAAGGCTTAAGCCGAGATACAGGCGTATAGACGAACCATCTAAGCATACGCACATAAGAGAGTGAAAGGTTACCACGGTTGGCTGTCGGCGGCTGTGACGTAACTACGATTATCTATCGCCAACTGTAAAAAGATGTACAAGAATACAGTTTACGCAGTTAAGAAAACTAAGAATAAAACGTAATTCAAATGAAACTAGTTAAAAGGATATCTGATTTGCAATAAAATACAACACAGTAATTCATGATTTTAATAATTAGCTTAAGAATTTAGAATGCCATACTAAAGGTTTATTGCAATTCTAATCGCGATAGGGTTATTAATTTTACCAAATCGGACGAGACCTGTCCCCGCCAGCAATCTCTGCTGCCATGCTGACGGGTGAGGAGGGATGGAGCGCAGTGGTCTCTTTCTGTGTACGTCTGTGGACGTCGGCGACGATACCAGCCGCGCGACGGGTCCGCGGGCCGCCAGAAATGGGGACTTCTGATGGCAGACTGAATGCTGCGATAGGGGATAGGATGGCGGCCTGATTGCATTAAGACGAAATTGGGCGCCCCGTCGTGATTGAGGGTGGAAGTGTTTTTCCCCTGGGATAGGGCCTGATTAGGCATGGTGTCAATTCGGGGAGGACCTAAAATAACATGGTCCAGGTCCTTCCTGAGGCCGGCCTTCGGGGTGGTTTTTAGTGGAATCACCACATACTCCTGGCTCCTGAGTCTCCGAGGAGCAGGAGATCTGACTTAATTTTCCACCCCGTCAACAAAAAAAAAGGTTGTTAATCTTGCTTCGAATATCCCCCTATAAGTATAGTTTAATTTCATTAGTTGTTTAATTCATTTAAACTTTACTTAATGATCGACTTATCTAACGTGAAAAAAACCATTTTCTAATCAGTGGTAGGACCTTACGTTACGAACACAAAAAAACGAATAGATAACAGTACATTTTGTTCATTAGGATCATGTACATTCTCCACTGTAAGAAATAAATATGTACAGAATAATATTCCTGCTGAATTTCTGTCAATAATCAGACAACTTTATGAACCTTCTGTTCAGACTCAACTTTGTTAAAAACGGGTAAAATGCGCACGTTTCCCTTCCGTTCGTGCCTTTGCTATGAACTAATCGTTCAGCAGTACCTAATAGTCATAAAACAGTACGTTCAGTAAACACAATACATATTTACGATTAGGAACTTAACTTAAGCAAAGCACGTAACGCTGTAGGAAATGAGAATCAATTGACGAAACGGTTTCTCCAAGAGTTTAGACATATCTTCCATTTGCATTGACTATGTAACAGAATTAGGAATTACTTTGTTGTACATGCAAACATTGTTGGCACCGTTCTATAGTTGATTACTGAGTTAGGTACTCACAGGAATTAACAATGAATTATCATGATGACGATGGTGTGTCCACAGACAACATCATAACAGGAATTTTGTCTAATTTGAGGAGTTGCTTTCGTTTTTAAGCTAGGCCCCTAATTACAAGAAATAATATCCAATGGAAAAAAAATCGCTAAAACTCTATGGCATTCGATTTTGTCACTAATTAACTGAGACTCCATTGAGTAGCATAAGTAAAATTGTAGTCCAAAGTATGACAGATACCAGCTAGATAGATGTCAGCTGTAACAGTTTCTTTATACGTAAATGACGTATTGGATTGCATATTAGTTACTATATATTGCCTTTACTGTGGTAAATGCACCTATTTCGGCTCCTTATCCATCTCACGTATCACCCGTGATCATATAAAGACTGTAATATTAGACAGAGCTGTTACTTGATCGGCAAAAGAAAGTCAGGACACATTTCTGCACTTTATGACTGCACGGATGGCGTAGTGGCTTAAGCGGTCGCCACGCCTCTTCCTACTACGCCGAGTGTTGTGGGTTCAAACCCCACATAGGACGACACTTTGTGTGATCCACAAATTGTTGTTCTGAGTCTGGGTGTTCCATGTGTCCGTTTCATGTATGTTTGTAAAGTCCCCCGCGACACAGGAATATATTTCTAATGCGGGAGTTGTCTTTAAAAAAATAAAATAAAATAAATAAATTTCATACATATTAAGCTGATAAACATCAAATAAATGCTAGTCTTGGTCCGTGTGGTGACGGATTAAGAATACGGAGTGTCACCACCCCTATTCATCCCGTGGGTAAGGGAGCAAACTACTCAGGACAACAGCACTGCAAAGAGAGGGAAAACTCGAAACAAATCCTTTATCAACCTGTCTGGCCAGCGTGGTATAGTAGGCCAAAACCTCCTTTCTAAGGCGAGGGCCATGCCCAACAGTGGACTGCTATAGGCTGTTGATGATGATGATGAAAGTCTTGGTAAGACTATGAAACAACTTAGACAATTTTCCGTTCGGGTAAGACAGAAATAAATGACTATCTCTCATCTCGCTTTACATCTCACCGTTTTATATCTGCTATCTCAGCTAAGTGCACTACGATTATAACATTTCCCTACATTATTCTGTCATGACCGTTGATTTATGGTTCATGTATGATAAATTACATTCAATTGTTTAATAAGTTGTGAAGGGAGCGGGTCGTTTTAGCAATAATCCGGCCATGCATTAAGCTAGTTAGCGACTGCAACAATACATTTAGTATTACACATATTTTTGAGATGATCTTAGTTTGGTCGATATAAATTTAAGGCATTTAAAAATACGAAATATTTTATCAAATTTAAACGATATGATAACATGATCTAAATCTAGACTAGTATTATAAAGCTGAAGTGTTTATTTGTTTGTTAGTTGAACGCGCTAATCTCATTAATTACTGGTTTATTAGAAGAATAATTTCAGAATCGGACGACCTGATGGCGTTTGTGTTCCGGACTGCTATTCCAAAGGTCGAAGGTTCGATTCCCGCTCAAGTCAAACATTTGTGTGAACAAACATTAAATGTTTGATTTGGTCTGGGTGTTTCTATGTATAATATGTATGTATTTACAAAAAAAAACCTTTTTAAGAATCCACAAATTATAAAACCACTTAATTTGAAATTATAAAATTGTAAAGTATATGGTTATTTTAAGTTATTGGCACATGTGGCTATTCTGGGCTCGCTTGCAGGTGGTAAAGTGATAGTTTTTGCCTTGATCCAGATTTACTTGAAACTGTTGGGTTACCAGTTAGGTATTACAGGTTTATAAATTTATAGACTTGTTTTTATTATTTTAACATATTTACACTCAGGTAGAAGCGGTAGGCAAACTTTAATTTTAGTTTTACTTACGTGACAGAATTTAAGCTTGCCATGTGGTGACGGATTAAGAATACGGAGTGTCACCACCCCTATTCATTCATTTCATTCATTCATTTACCCATTGGTATCGTAAGAGCCGACTAAGGAAGCTAACTTGTAAGGAACCGTGTAGCCAGCGTGGTATAGTAGGCTAAAATCTCTTTTATAAGAAGAGTCCTATGTCCAGCATTGGACTATTTAAGTCTGTTGATGACCATGAGGCCAGACTATGGGCGTCAACCTCTCATTTTAAGAATCATTTGGGAAAAAGTTTAATTGATGGGAAGACATGGAAGAATGGTAACAAATGGCTATTGCTTATGCGAGTTATTGATGTAGAGGATTGTTTAGTATAATAGTATATTGCTCAACCTCAATTAAGTAATTCTTGTAAACCGGACTCTGGCCAGAACCGGAATCAAGCTTCATAAACATTTTTATGAGGATATTGATGCAATGAATGACGTGTCAGCAAACCCGCCATTCCATTGTTTCAGATATTGCCGTTATACACATGACGCCATCTCTTACAAAACTGATACATGATTCAGACAACTACACTCGCTGTCTGTAGATAAACCATTTCATTTGGTCTTACATTATCCACGAAGTTTATATTCTAACTGCTACGATTCATCATGATCATCTCAGCTGAAAGATGTCAACTGCCGGACATAGACCTCCACCATAGTTGGTTCCCCATAAAACGACAGAGGGCTTGGACTTTTTAGCAACAACCTTCTTATTCCTAACGTGCCCGATTTACGTCACTAAGCTTGTTTCCTGTTACGTTAGTGGCTCTAAAATGATTGGGCAAAATATGACAGTCCAATACGCCTTCTGCCTATCTCTTCGGCAATAAATGTACATATGTGTGTACGAATTTTACATTTTACAACATTTTACATAAAATCTCTAAATATTAATAATTTTATCATCAAGATAAGAACCGACCATATGGGATCTGTTATCCAATTATTAAATCTCACAGCTTGAGAACAGAATATAAAACAAGGTGTACAACATTTTAGCAAAAAACACTTCATTTGAAACGTATATTTAATTGCAAGAGACGGGTTTCCGTCGAAACCTGTGTTGATTTAGCAATCGGAAGTGTTCCGAGTTTTTATTGATACTTTTTGTAGTGTTAGGAAATACTTGCAGACTAAATAAGGATAGACAGAACGATCTGGTTGGGGACGGGTTTGGAGGAATACTGGGACTAAACCTTAAAAGTAGTAAACCGCATTTCACGGTCCTTTATTCTGCGTCTAGGTGTACTTTATCTATATGTATGTATTTAGAAATATTAGGTCTTTACCTATGAAATTGCCGTTTTGTATGCAATAAGTGAAAGTACTTATTTTTTCAAACTTTTTTATTTCTGTTATTCTAAGTAATCACCCATGCAATCGACGCATCTTTGCCAACGCATTGGCAGTTTATTGATAGCCCTTCTTGTAAAAATCAGCTGGACGGGAGGCAACAAACTCTTCAAAAGCATTTTGTACTGCCTCTCGGGAATTGAATTTTTTACCCACTAAAAAGTTGTCTAAATTTTGGAAAAATTAATAGTCGGTAGGTGCAAGGTCTGGTGGTCACATCGAGGACCGATAACAATACACTAATTTAAAAAAAATATAGTTTAAAAAACTAAAAAACACTGCTGGGGTGCTTTTTACTATTGACAACAGGCACCCAACGCTTTTTTTTCAAATTTATTTTCTATTTTTTAGTTTGTTTTTTTATAGAAAGATATGTTTTTTAGTTTTTTGAAACTATAATTTTTTTTTTACTTGGCTATGATATGACTGCGAAACTTTGCAATGGGTTAACCTTCTCGGTTAGTCACGAGTCCCTAATCCATAATCCGTAACTTAATCCACTACACACATCTTTCAAAATTAGATCTCAGAGTTTAACACCTGTTGTTGTTCTACCATCGTTTTGTCTCGTAAGCTTTTTACTATCCAGATATCTTGACTGTTTGTGGTTTCAGTATTTTTTGACGTGACGAAAAATGCAACCATTCTATCAGTATTTTCTTATGACGTTGTCACGTTCAACTATCGTCAGTAAACCGACTTTACAGACAAGCGTTTTTTTTTTTTTACAGATGGGATCCTAAACGCCGAATCACGTCTACTGACGCGTCCCGCCACGAGTTCGTGATTGGATGTGCTTTAGGCGCAGCACCAGCAGGAGTTCTAGCACTCCCACGTCTAGCACCTCCAAGAACTACAAGAGGAGCGCTTCTCCACTCGCAATCAGCTGGAGACGTTGCGGCCATGTTGGGTCGAGCGTGACCACGAGAGTCATGAGCGAGGGCTGGGTCGGGAGGTCTGCCTTAGAGAGGGTTAGATAGTATGGTGGTAGGTACGGTATACTCTGTGGACTCGATCCAGGCTGTATAAGTTTGGTTCTATAGTGTTTTTTTTTCTAATTTGAGACCTATTACCTTATAACTATTATATCTTATCCTGCTCTAAAAATTTTAAGATGTAGGTTTGTTACCATTGCTTTGGATCTTGAAGGTTTACAAAAAGATTGCTTATTTATATCAGGAAAAAAGACCAGAATATCAATACAAAATACAAATCCAGGATGGATAGTACAGTCCTGCAATCTATTTTGAAAGGCGTATATAACTAGTGACGGATAGTCCGTGTAGTGACGGATTAAAAATACGGAATGTCACTACCCCAATTCATCCCGTGGATGTCGTAAGAGCCGACTATGGGCGCAAAACAACGCAAGACACCAGCAGTGCAAAAAGAAGGAAAACTTGACACAAACCCTTTACCAGCCCTCCTTTCTAAGGAGAGGCCTATGTCTAGCAGTAGGCTATTAAAGGCTGTTGATGTGGTATGAATACCTATTGGTGAAAGTTAAATAGGGATTGCACACCACAATTAACTAAAAACTTGAATCAAAGAGAAGGGTTTACTAAATTATAATTTGTGTTTTAAACATGATGAAAGACCACATCGGCTTACTTTAACGCTAAACGGTCAATAGTACAATCATTATATCAATTATAAACATTGTAACAAAATTTGACGTTCACTTGTCTTCGTTTAGTAATAGTGAGTCATCTATTAATCAAACAAAATAAAGTATTAATATAATCAGTCCATTCACTTGGTATCTTATACATAAAGTCTAAATTATATTAAATAAGACAACAAAAAAATAGTATTTAAAGAAAGAAAAAAAAAGTTTTTCATGTTTTTTTTTATTAATCATATAATAATAAGGAGAGGCCTATGTCCAGCAGTGGACTATTAAAGGCTATTGATGATGATGATATAATAATAACCTCACATATCTCACACACGGTCGTCTGATCGAGCGGGACTAGGCAGAGCCTCTATTATGGTTACCAAACTGATGCTAAACATACTTATACATATATTTCTAAATACATACATATTTTAGATAAATTACAGACAGACAGAGGTGGTAACATAAGGTATAAAAACTGCAACGGATAGCTACTTTTCAATATTCCGAATTAATTATGAACATCACGAACTCCTACAGACCCGAAGGCCAATTCTCGTGATAAAAGTTCGTTCAAAATTCAGTTCTCAGAGCTAACAACTGTCATAAAAAGTTTTTTTGTAGTAAAAGACTATCTAGTTTCTTTTGTTTTCTATACTTATATTTATACATGCCTGATCGAGTTCCACAAGAGTCAGAGTTGAAAAGATGACGTCATATCTATGAATATCATCCTTTTTTTGGGAATCCTAGCATTTCTGACACTCCATGAGTTTGACTAAGAATCTTATCTGGACTGAAATATAGTACAAGGTGGTATACGTCACTCATATCAAGGAATGGCTCTACTTAACATGTACTTAATGTTCACGAAACGGCTGCTTTGAAAAAATGACAATGGTAAATGAAATAAAACTGTCAGACTAAATTATTACCTTTGAATTTTCAAATTTTTTACCTGGCTACATTGCCAAGGCGTCAAAACATTAATAACACTTAAACATTACAATTATACACAAAGTTGTTGTTAGAACAATAACTATAATAATACTGAAGTTTAAAAAAAAAGGGGTCCGCTCTATTCAGTGGATGGTGTTACCATCTCGTCTGACTTATTTAGAAGTAGCGGATACATTGATGATCACAACTGATATCATTGCAGTTTTGGACATTATAATATCCATCACACTTATATACGACAATATGATTTATGTTCAAGTAATTTAAAAAATCTTTACCGTAGATGTTTACTGGACAATTATGAGTCGTATTTATAATTAAATATTTTACTTGAGAGTCGAAAAGATAGGTCATTTCATTTACCATTACTTTCTCCTTTAAAGCAGGAATATATTAAGACTTTTTGGCCTGTGTAACCATACTTTAATCCATTCTAAGTTTGTCAGTATCATCAAAAAATAATTAAAATAATAGAACTACGTTGTTAAAAATGAAAACAAATAAATCATTCAAATAAAGAGACATTTTTAGTTTTGTTTAAAGGTGTATAAATTTTCTTACTATTTCAATTACACTATTGTTGTATTGGTTAAAACATAATGTTTACTCATATTGTTCTCCAAACTTCTTTTCAGTGAGCTTTATTTTTAAATTATTATATTTTTGAACTAGCTACAAAATGGTTTTTAATCTGTTGTCTATTTCATGTTGATACTGTCAAACAATTAGTCGATTAGAATTTGTGTAGTGATAATCGAAATCGGGTATTTAGACATAAATGTTTTAGTTAATGTGATGTTGTAGATTTTTGTAAATTCATTAACTACACTAGGTAAGATATCTAAGCTTTAATAACCAAAGTGTTGATAGACAAGTAGGTACTCTCTTTTATCTTATTGTTGTTCTAATGTTGAATATTTAAGCAGTGTGTATAGACGTAGAATGAAATGATTAATGAATGAATCTGACAAAGACAACACTGGCGATAAAATAAATAATTTTGACTTTTTGCTAGCTCTTAATTATTTTAATAAATAGTCTTTTGCAACTTTAGAAACAATATTATTTAATAAAAATGTGATATTTAAATTAATCTTCGATAAAAAGTACGTGTAGTTTTTATTTTAAACGTTTAGTGATTCGGAAAGGATATACTAAAAATACTATTTTAATACCGAGTTTTCAGAAAAAATAAAATCGTCAAAGTCTTTAAAAAGTAAATACAGATAACAAATACTTAGTTAATTTTATCCTTCTCGTAGAACTAGTCCCTCAAGTGCACTATTAATAAATAATTGATCTGTTGTTGGTGGTCAGTTAAAAAAGTATTATGAAAAAAAACAAAAAAAAACAATTATTTAAGTTGAAATGGATTTTAACACACTTGTTTGGTTAAGGTACATTACGTCATTCAGAAAGATTGCCAAGATTAAAATAATAATAATTATTAGATATTATTATTACTGAAATGTGAAGCCAAATTTTATATAATTTTTAGTACCATTAATGTAAAAAATAACATAAAAGACTTCCTTAATGCACTTCATAAATAAGAGTCGCTAACTTGACGATTTTAGTTACTAGGTTTTTACATTTAGTCACTACTTCATATTTAGTTCACTCAGCTCAACTTAGGTATCGATTAATGCAATTGATTTTTAGCCATTAAAAGTGTATTGAAACTAGCAATTTGAAATTTAAAAAAGGACATTTAAGGGTCTTTAAAGAAATTTAAATTGTACCTTATTATTTACTTTTGTTCTGAAATTTAAATTAAATTATTTAATATACATACGTGTACTTTTCTATTGTTTCCTTTGCTTTATAACGTTTTCTTTCTCTATACCAAAGATAAAGTTTTTTTTACACATGACAACTCGATCTCATTAAGTAGTGTATATTGAATAAACTTTTTGTTGAAGTGTTCCTAAATTACTGTACTGTCATTGTTAAGCTATATAAATATGAATGGACGTATGTAGTTGAGGTCAAAGTTCTAGAATAATAAACGGACCAAACTTTTTGGTTCAGTAGCTTTGATATCCTTGCGTCGTACATCAGTGTTTATACATCGAATTGAGTTTCTATTAAAGATAATTAAATATTAAGTTTTATTGTTCTTTTTAAAGAAAAATATCAATAGATTTAAATTAAATTACGTTAGTAAAAAGCTATAGGTTTACGTATTTTTATTTTAAGTCAATATTCTGAAGTGTATTATCCTTTATGCCCAATACTTTGCCAAGGAATTGGTTTAAGTTTCTTTAATTTTTAACAATAAACTTTAGAAAGTAAGTCAATACTCTTATTGTTCTTTCTGGGTTAGTAAGAATTTGTTATTCCTAGTAAAATGGTCTAATATATGTATATACCCTTATCATGTTAGTTATAGGGTAGGCCAAGCCAAACTGTGAATTGACTTAAGTACTCATTAATGTTTAGTTAGATCTAATGGCGGGTTCTTACGGGGCGATTGGGGAGCAACTATACGTCGCAATTTTAACTGTTTTGTATTAAAAAGTACAGAAACTTGATGTGAATGATTTTTGGTCTGCATAAGGTCTATTATGTTTTAATATTAACAATATGTACACTGACTCAAAATATCATTTTAAATTCTATATTTATTCCTAAAGCATTTGCTAGTCCGACTTCACAGAAAATCGGTGCTAAGCCCTTCTTTTGTTTATTTTTACCCAGTGAGTGAGATTACTCTAGGATCCAAGTCCTTATTCTCTTTAACTCCGGGGAGGACCCTTAAACGGCTAATCAATTAATATCTTGAGTTGCAGGTTTTCATGTACAGCGTTAGTTACTTACCATCAGGTGATCTGTCCGCTCGTTTGTCTCAAATATCATCTAGATAAAAATTGCACCCGATTGTCATTTCTGAGCCCGCCATTACAATGTTAGCGGATCAAGATGTTTGTGATTTTGATGATAAACATTTAGACGTAGGCAATGGTTGTTATACCTGTGTATTGTATCACTAATATATATGTATATCATATAATATATCTATGTGTAACCTATTTGTTCTTATGGAATCATCATGATTAAAGTTCTTCCAAATGCAATACACACTTTTATTTAAAAAAAAACGGTTGTCTGTAAAGTCGGTTTACTGACGATAGTTGAACGTGACAACGTCATAAGAAAATACTGATGGAATGGTTGCATTTTTCAAAATTGTATTATTGTATACGAGTAGCAGCTGTCCACGCGGACGCATCGCTCACTCAAGTAGGAGAGAGACAGATATCGAACGCTGCCGAACGCGGAAGCCGATTGTGCCTCTTTGTCACTCGTTCCGCGCTCTCGCTTGCACTTCACGCCTTAAATG